GGCCACTGCACTCCAGTATGGGCAACAGAGTGAGACTCCAACTAAAAAAAAAAAAAAAAAGAAAAGTAAGAAAAGAAACAGAACTTTGCAAAATATTTAAAGTGAAGGGTAAGCCAAAGATGATTATGTTTCTAGCCTGAGAAATTGAAAGAAGCAGGTAGCTGATAAGTTTAAGGGGAGTGGATGAATCTAGATATGGTCATGGTACACTAGGTTGGGACATTACAGTAGAAAAGTGAGAGACAGTTTTTAGGCAGTTAAAATTACAGTCAGAACTAGAGCAATAGGGTTAATACTGACTATATTATTAAATAAAAACCTTGGCCTGGCCAGGCGCAGTGGCTCATGCCTGTCATCCCAGCACTTTGGGAGGAAGAGGCAAGAGGATTGCCCTGAGCCCAGGGGTTTGAGAACAGCTTCAGACAACTTGACAAGACCTCATATCTACAATAAATAAAAAAATTAGTCAGGTGTGGTGGTACACACCTGTAGTCCCAGCAAATCAGAAGACTGAGGTAGAAGGATCACCTGAGCTCAGCAGGTCGAACCTGCAGCAGCCATGAGCATGCTACTGCACTCCAACCTAGGTGGCAGAGTGAGACTCTGATTCAAAAAGAAAAAAAACCTTGGCCTAATAAATTTCCTTATAATAACTGATTCACCATCTTTTTAATAGACAATCTCATAGGCAAAGATTGTCATTATTTTAAAAAATAAATGCACTCAATTTTGACAAGGGCTGTCTTTATTATATTTACCATGGTTTTTCCAACTTGGTAATTATCTGGATTAAGATTTATTTTCCTGAAGAAATTCTGAATGTTAAGTTTAGATGGAATAATCTTTCGGGGCAGAAGCACATGGAAGTGGCTCACAAAATCCTGAAAAATGAAAAGAAAATATTGCAAAATCACAAGAGAAGTATGTGTAAACAAAATCCTAGACTAGCTAATTATCCTTTCATTAATCATTTTTCTCATTCTTTTAAACAGGGTAAAACCAAGGACATGTTTCTTAATTTAAAATAATACAAAGGTTAATTTGAAAAATGTAGGCAAGGAAGAAAGATATTGAGCTCTACATATTACATTATCAAAGGGGAATAGATGAAGAAAAGAAGGATGGAGGATAATTGTCCCTTATAAGAAAGCTTTATAAAAGACCAAAGAAAAAGTTATTTAACAAGAACCTAAAATTTTTAGCAGCAAAAAAAGTGAATGTGGCAGCTATTATAGGGTATAAACTGAGAATAAAGTTTTCAGCTCCAGTTAGAGCAAAGACTTGCTCAGTTGCTGAAGAGCTTCAATTTCTATACCCACAGCAGTAGTAGGTGGTAAGAATAGCTGTCTTGCTGGCAGTTTCCTATGAACAAAAATCCTGCTGAGAAAACCTTAAGGGAAACCAAATGGAATCTTTTCTTTTGAGTAGGCAATTCTGATTGAACTATTTCAATTACTGGAGATCAGTGTGAAGAACTGTTACGTCATAAGTACACTTAGTATTAGCAAACATTCTGATCAAATGATAATAGCCAAGTACTGGATTCTATTACAACAAGCTTAATGAAGTTGTTGCGATTCTATGAAAGTGAATAGTCTGGACCTCTTTTCAATTCTGTATGCAAAAGATGAAATGGAAAGGAAGAATTAAGAGAAATAAATAAGCCCCAAAGAAATACTAAGCTAGGCATGTAGAAATAACTTACTTGATGTGTCTATATATATAAATAGCACCATAAAAACATAACCTGGAAAGAATATTTGGAGCTGTATCCTGATTGGCGAATTCGAACTGTTTCCAGCATCCCAGTATATCGAAGCTGTCTAAGTACCAAAGCATCATTGAACCTTAAAGGCAGCTTGAAAAAAAGCAAATGGAAAAAGGATTAACCCAGAACAGTACTCTCCAAATTAACATCTATCTTATAAGCATGGCTAACTGTTGAGCATCTAGAGACTGAATGGAGGTTGTCTGGTTAAGATACAGCTAAACTGATAGGATAAGCTCACCTCTGAGCTGGTAGCTTCAGAAAAGTTCTGACTGCCCAAATCTAGGAAAAGGGGAGAAATGAAGCTTCCAGGTTTCTCTGGTGGTGGAGGGAAAAAATCTTAAAAGCTCAAAAAGAAGATAGTCATACTCAAAGGCCACATAGTCTAATCACTACAAAATCTGTAACAAGATTAACCTATTTATATACATGGTCAAGAGCTTCTGTACTTTTGTATTTCATTATGATTTTATCTATAATCTCACTAAGAAACTAACTGCCCCACTCCACCAGTGGCCTTTGTTAACTGAGAGCTGAAAGATTCTTCTTTTAATGACTAGCACAAGTTAATTAAGAGTAGCTTATTTCCCTAAATGCTTTTTGCTGATGATAGTGGTATAAAACATCAAAAAACAAAAAATTTCTGTAGTTCTTCAGAATTAATCCCCTCATTATATAAGCACTAAGCATCAACAGAGGAGGCTAATGGGAGACAGTCACTTAACATCAGTCACAATACCCTACCATTCCTAGGTATCTCTGTAGGTATGTTTCTACACATTTAAGATACATTTGCAGCATCTGATATTTCTCCCTATTGTCTAAATAATATATTCAATGGCCATCTAAGGAAATTACAAACATTTTCCTACAGCAAGGTGAGGCATACTAGTTGTCAAGGAAAAAAAAATCATCAAATGGGCAATTTGTGTTACATAATAATAGCAGCTAACACTTATTTAGTACTTATGTGCCCTGAAATATTTTATTAGTTGAACTATTTGTATAGCAAGATCTCAATAACAGAAAGTTAAACTTCTACTTAGCTGTAAATAGAAGTTTCCTTTATAGTCATTATAAAAAAATAGCTAACATTTACTAAGCACTTATACAACAGTCAAGAATATTTTAAACACTTCACAGATATTAACGCATATATACTCAAAAAACAAAACATTATGAAAATGGTCCTATAAATACAGTATATTACTACACAGACGAAAATATTTAAGCCACAGAATAATCAAGTAACTTGTCTAAAGTCACAAAGTTTATAAATAGAGTTGCAGACTGCTTATTAACAATTAAGAAAGGTGGGCTGGGCATGGTGGCTCATGCCTGCAATCCCTGCACTTTGGGAGGCTGAGGCAAGAGGATCACTTGAAGTCAGGAGTTCAAGACCAGTCTGGATGACTTAGTGAGACCTCTGTCTCTACAAAAAGTTTTTTTTTATAGCAGCTAGGCACAGTGGTGTGCACCTGAAGTCCTAGCTACTCAGAAAGTTGAGGCAGAAGGAATGCCTGAGCCCAGGAGTCTGAGGTTGCGGTGAACAATGATTGCGCCACCACATTCCAGCTTGGGCAACAGGGTTAAAAAAAAAAAGAAAAAAGAAAGTTGAACATAATTCCTCATATATTTAATTGTTCGGCCTGGAAACTATTTTTTCCTATGATGAATATAAATAAAGATGACAAATATTTACACTTAATATATCTTGAAAAGCTCTCATTAGGAAAACTGTAATAGGAAAGACAAAGCACAGTATCTTCCTTAAGTTACAGAGACAAAACTCTCTGAACATGAAAAATGCTAAGCAATTGTTTTAAGAGGAATAGCTGATATCCAAACAGAGATTACTACCATAGGGTAAAAAGTTTCATAAAAGAAATTTTTTTTCTGATGCAACTTCAAGAGATATTTGCTTCTCAAATTCTAGGTGATGCTAAATTAAACTTACCACATTAACACCTTATAGGCAGGTAAATGTAGAAATTAGAAGAATATTCATCAAAAATGTTTATGAAATACAACTTTATTTATAAAAATTATAGATAGATCGTCCCCTCCACTTAGTCTCCTTAAAGTAACTTAAAGCTTGGTTTGAAGTAAGTTTAATTATATGCTCTCTTATAGGACTTTGCTACCTTTTCAGCATTAGAGCGAATGCATTTTACAAAATATGGTTCTGCTTGTCCAAGTGTTTCCATCAGCTTACTTAATGACACCTGCAATACAAAGAAATATAATTATCATATTCTCCCATTCCAAACTGGCAACAAATAATTTATAAGTTTAACTGGATAATGTTGGCAAATTATGCAAAAACTAGAGGTGTATATAGAAAGAGACTTGTTTCCGAAAAGGACATTGTGTGTATTCCCATACGGGTTTAACTAAGGTTGATTAACAATAAGGATGGCAATTTAATCTTAAAGCTGATAGCCAGGAAATAGTAAATAAAACAGATATATTTCAGAATAATCTGAGTATAGAATAATTTGTTCACATTTCATGAAATAATTTTATTCAAACTCATGTATCCCAGAACAACTTTTAAAATCATCCACTAGCATACCTAATAAGGTAGTACTCTCTTGCTTTACTTTAAATGTCTATAGAATATGTAATGATATCCTCTCTTTTATTTCTGAAAATGGTAATTTATACTTTCTTTTCTCCTGATTAGTCTGGCTAGAGGTTTATCAATTTTTTTGATCTACTCAAAGAACCAGCTTTTAGGTTTTATTGGTTTTTCTTTTTTTAATTTCATTGAATTATGCTGTTTCATTATTTCCTTTTTTCTGCTTACTGTGGCGCATATATATATATATATATATATATATATATATATATATATATAGTTTTTTTTTTTTTTTTTTAGTTATAGACTCTTGCTCTGTTACCAAGACGGGAGTGCAGTGGCATGATCACAGCTCATCATAATCTTTAACTCCTGGGCTCAGGTGATCTTTCTGCCTCAGCCTCGGGTGTAGCTAGGCCTACAAGAGCATGCCACCACGTCTAATTTTTTTTTTTGTACACACAAATTCTTGCTATATTGTTCAGGCTGGTCTTGAACTTCTGAACTCAAGCAATCTTCCCATCTCAGCCTCCCAAAGTGTTGGGATTACAGGTGTGAGCCACCACACCTGGCCTGGGTTTAATATAGTCTCATTTTTCTAGTTTACTATGGTAGAAACTTAGATTTTTGACTTGAGATCTCTCTTTTTTCCTAATAAAAACAACTTAATGCTGTATATTAACCTCAGAGCACTGCTTTAGCTGTACTACACAAATGTTAATACGTCATTCCAATTAAAACACTTAAACAATTTCCTTCCTCTTTGGAAGACTGTTTTATATTTTATGAAATCAGGCACATTCAGGGTGGTATGGCTGTAGACTATTTTATATTTTCTAAATATTTGAGATTACTATGTTTCTTTGATTCGTTTGACTGAATTTTAGTCTAATTTCATTATGGTCCAATAAAACATTTTGTATGATTTTAACTCTCTTAAATTTGTTGAGGCTTGTTTCATGGCCTAGTTTATGATCTATACTGGAAAGTGTTTCATGGGTACTTAAAATGAATGTGTATTCTGTGGTTGTTGGCTGGGATATTCTATAAACTTCAATTAGCTCAAGTAGTTTAATAGTTCTGTTCAAGTTTTTCATACCCTACTTATCCTCTTGTCTACTTATCCTATTGATTATTGAGAGGTATGCTGATGTCTCTAAACATAATTGTAGATTTTTCAGTTTTTCTTTTAATTTTATCAGTTTTTTTGGCTCTGGTATTTAGAAACTCTGTTATTAGATGAATACATAAACTTAAGACTATTAACGTATTCTTGGTAAATTGTACTTTTTTATCATCTGAAGTATCTTTCTTTATCCCTGGTAATTTTCTATATTTTAAAGTCTGACATTACTATAGTCATTGTAGCTCTCTTTTGGTTAGTGTTTGCATGTTTCTTCTTTCTTTCTTTTTTTAACTAAAACCTTGTAGTATCCTCGTATTTAAAGGTTTCTTATAGATAGCATACACTTAGGTTTTCTTATTTCATCCAATCGGACTATATCCATTCCTTAATTGGACTGTTTCAAGTATTTACATAGGTAATTATTAGTATAGATATATTTAGATCTACCATTTCATTATTTATCTTCTGTTGTCCTATTTTGTTCCTCTCTTCCTCTTCCCTAATGCCTTTTTAAAATATAAGGGGGAACCCAAAAAACTCCATAATTATCTTTTTTTAGAGATGGGCCACTTGTAGTACAGGCTTCCCCTGCCAGGTAAGTGTTGGCCTCATTGGCATCAGTGTAGCAGCTAGCATTGTAAGAGGCTGGGTTTGGCTTCAGTGAACTTTTTTTTTGGAAATTCTGTCAACGTTTATTTCCCCTCTCATGATGGGTGATTTACAAGCAACCTGCTCACATCACCAAGTGTTCAGCAGTTTTGGACCCAAAATGGCAAGGCCCCTGTGCCCCACCCTTCCTATTCACTTGATCTAGCCCTGAGCGACTTTTTTTTTTGTTTCCCCAATGAAAAAAGTCCTCAAAGAGAAACGTTTTGCTGATGTGGAAAAGGTGAAACAAAAAAATGACAGAATCACTAAAAGGCAGCAAAATGAACACATAAAAAAAGGCCAGGCTCGGTGGCTCAGCCTGTAATCCCAGCACTTTGGGAGGCCGAGGTGAGTGGATTGCCTGAGCCCACGGGTTCGAGACCCGCCCAGGCAATTTGGCGAGACCTCATCTCTACCATAAACCAAAAAATTAGCCGGGCGTGGTAGTGCATGCCTGTAGTTCCGGCTACATGGAAGGCTGAAGCGGAAGGATCCCTGGAGCCCAGCAGGTGGAGGCTGCAGTGGCCGGGAGCAGCCGTTGCACTCCAGTCTGGGTGACAGAGTGAGACTCCAACTCAAAAAAAAAAAAAACTGCTTTGACCAGATGCAGTGGCTCAAGTCTATAATCCCAGAACTTTGGGAGGCTGAGGCGAGAAGATTGCCTGAGCCCATGGGTTCAGGCAACTTGGTGAGACCTCATCTCTACAAATAAAATAAATAAATAAATAAATAAATAAATAAATAAAGTCAGCCAGGCGTGGTAGTCAGGCAACTTGGTGAGACCTCATCTCTACAATTAAAATAAATAAATAAACAAATAAATAAATAAATAAATAAAGTCAGCCAGGCGTGGTAGTGTGTGCCTGTAGTTCCGGCCACCTGGATGGCTGAGAGGAAGGATTGCTAGAGCTCATCAGGTCCATGTTGGGTGGCTGTGAGCATGCCACGGCACTTCAGTCTGGGCGACGGAGTGAGACTCCAACTCAGAAAAAAAAAAGAAGAATAAATATATAATTTTATACATAAATTCTGGGGTTTTTTTTTCAGTCCCCCATCATATGTCCAGAGGATAAATATCAACTTAGTTTGATTTGGGTAATGACAAAATTCTTAGTTTCAGAGAGAACTAAAAGCAGGTTATTTTCTTCAAAGCAATGGGCCTTTACATAGGGAATTCCAATGTTTATGAAAAACAAGCTTAATGTATCCTACATTTTCAACTTACACCCAAAGTTAGAAAGGCTTGTTTAGGCCAGGGAAGCAAAAAAAGTTAGTTTCCATCACTTTAAGCATGGGAGTATGTTGACTAGTGACATAATGGGCAATGTATACCCCAGCAATTGGCGGACACCTGAGCAGGTGGGTGTGCCTGTCAGGGCAGGAGAGGCGCGCAGTTTACCAAGTATGTTTCGGCAGATACAACAGCAACAGCATATACATGACCTATTATATCAAGAGAAAGCCAGAAAACTCCTTTTGAGGAACTAAGTAGAGATAGGGTGCTATGAAGGGGCCAGACTTCCACATATGGGTCCATGCATAAACAATGCACAGCTATTTGCTTTGTGATCAAGTTTCATTATCCCACTCATAACTTAAGGCTTTAACTACTTTGAAAGTTTGGTGGCAAAAGAGACTCATAAAAAACTAGCATTTGCTTACAGAAGACAAACTCTCAAAAGGGAATGCTTCAGAGTACAGTGTAGGTGGGAATTTATCAAAAGGTTGAAATAATATAGAAAATACAGTCTACCATACTGCTATTTATTTGTCAGTCTGATCTTTCTTTTTCATGTCTTTTTAACTGAGCAAATTTTGTGTCCATTTTAGCTCTCTTATTACTTTATTAGCTGTAGCTCTATTTTTCTCTTTAAAGGCTTGCTCTAGATTTTTACCTGTCCTTTATCACAGTCTATCTTCAACAGTGTTATACTGTATTTGGTACAGTATAAAAACTTTACAATGGTATGCTTCTACTTAGCCCCTTACTTCTTTTGTGACACTTTTGACATAAATTTTATTTCTACCACACATTAGGTTATTATTTGTTTTCTACAGCCAATTATCTTTTTAAAAGAGAAAAGTATTTTTTAACATTTAGCATTTCTATCATTCTGGTACTATGCATGTTTAGTATGAATTCAAATTTTCATGTGATTGTCCCATCATTTTTCTACCACATTTAAAATTTCTGAAATTGTATATCTGTTGGCAACAAACTCTGTTGTTGCTGTTGTTGGGTTTTTTTTGTCTTAAAAAGTATCTGTTGAGCAACATTTTTCAAGTCCCCTCCCACTGCGGGGGAGTTTTTCTGTCTTAATAAATCCTACTTTCAAAAAAAGAAAGTCTCTAATATTCATTTTTAAAAGACATATTCACTATGCATAGTGAATTCTATTTTTTTTTTCTTCTTTGGTCTTTTAAATATATTATGCTGTTGCTGTATGGCATTAATAGTTTCTGACAATCTTCATTTCATCACACATAAAGTCTTCTTTTCTCCCTCTGGTTATGTTTAAGATGCTCTCTTTTTAACCAGTATTAGAATTTGATCTAATGTGCCTTGGCGTGTTTTTGTTTGTTCTGATTGAGGTTTATTAAGATTCTTTGGTCTCTGCACTTATTTTTTCATCAAATCAGAAAATATTTTCATCATTTTTTTCTTCAAATATGTTTTTCTGCAGCCTCCTCTCTTTGCTCTTCTTCTGAGATTCCAATTATACCTATGTTAGACCACTTGATACTGCCCACAAGTTACCAATGCTATTTTCATTTTCTTTACAATCTTTGTTGTTTTTCACTGGGCTTTATTTTAAACTAAATTTGACTTCAAATTCACTACTTCTGAACTGCCAAAGCCATGCTAATCTAATCTAGTTTATTTTTATTGTCAAATATTACGTTTAATTTCAAAAAGTTCCATTTGAGTGTTTTTAATTTCTTCTTCTTTTGTTTTTTAACAGTACAAATGTCCCTTATTGGTTGCAAAGGAAAGTGGAATAGAGGAGAAGCTATGACAGCTCCATCTCTTGGGGAAGTATCTAGAAATTCTGTCATCGTCTTCCCATTTCATTCCCATCACATTCATGTTTTTTGTTATATCCTTTGGCATATTTAAAATATGTATAATAACTAGTTATATTTAAAAGATACTACCTACTATTTATGTCAGCACCACCATTTTAAGATGTCTCTAACGACTGACTTCTCCCACCCTGTTATGGGTTATTTTTTTTTCTCCTGACACTTCACATGTCTAGTAATTTCTGATTGAATGCTAGATACTGTGTTTTATGTAATTTGATTTTGTTGTATTCATTTAAAGAGGGACAGACATTTTTCCTATAATGCAGTTAAGTTACTTAGGATCAATTTGATTCTTTTAAGACTTGCTTTTAAGCTCTGTGAGGACAGGGCCAGAGCAGTCTTACATTAGGACTATTTCAGTCCCACTTTTAAAGCAATGTCTTTCTGAAGACTCTACCTAATGTC